CAAACAAACAAAAAACAAACCCAGACATTTCAGAAAATAAATATCAGGTTATATGAGGATGTAAAAGGAAGACACGCAATGAAAAGGACTAACAAATGACCCGCAGCAATGGACTCTAGCCTATCCGAGATGATGCAAATGGCACAGGTTAGGACAGAGTTCAGGTTTGTTGTGCATAGGGTCACATGAGTTGTAGTTGATGACACCCAACAACATCAACATCAACTGGAACTGGTTGTGCTGTTCTTGAGTATCATAGAGTTGCAAGTAACCCATAATAGACTCTCCAGTGGCTTTTTCTGAGGCAGTAAATGACATAGGAGACTGACCATATTTCTCCTTCAAAGGAGTTGGTGAATTTGAACCATGTACCTTTGTGTTGACAGTATAATTCCTTACCACTAAGCCACCAGAGTTTCCTATCTGGAACTGGCAGGATAGAGAAAGATAATATTTTTTTAAAAACCCTCATTTGCTGGAGTCAACAGCAGCAAAGAGAAAATGCAGGAAATAATTAGTGAAGCCGAAGGTAAAACAATAAATTTACCTAGTATACAACAGAAAACAAAACAAACAATAACCAGGACCCCAGGAATTTATGGAATAATAGAATGTCCAATATCTGTGTCAGCAGCAGTTCAAAGGAGAGTAGAAAGAGGATAAGGCAGAAAAAGTATGTAAAAGTAAAACTGCAAATTATGCAAATTTGGCAGAAGACATAATCTTATCAGAGTCTAACAAAGTCTAAAGTCTAAAGAGGCCAAAGAGAACCAAAGTAGTAAAGACCCTCTGTGGCATCAAAGGATTATCATTCCAAGTATATACAGAAACCCCAAAGACTCAACGAAAGAACTGTTAGAACTAGTAGGCCAATTTAGGAGAGTGGCAGGATATAAGAACAATATCCAAAAGTCCGAGGGATTCCTTTACAGTAACAAAGAGAACTCAGAGAAGGAAACCAAGAAAGCAATTCCATTTATAATAGCCAATAACAAATTGAGAAACTTGGGAGTGAACCTAACTAGAGATACAAAAGACCTATACAAAGAATATTACAGAATATTTTGAAAGACACAATAAAAGACCTAAAGAAATGGGAAAAAAATGTGCCCTGTTCACGGACTGTTGTTGTTGTTGTTCTGTGTCTTCGACTCACCTGAAACTCATAGTGACTCTATATATACAACAGCCCTAAACCCTGCCAATTACCCTAGTCACTAGATCAATACATCTCATTGAGGGTCTTCTGTTGCACTATTCCTCTACCTTCCCAAACATGATGTCCCTCTCCAAGGACTGGGTCCTCCTAGCAACATGTCCAAAGTATGTCATCAGACAAAGCTTCAGAATCCTTGCCTCCAAGGAGCAGCCCAGCTTCAACCTCTCCAGGACAAACCTGTTTGTTCTCCTAGCAGTATATTCAATACTCTTCTTCCGCACCACAGCTCAAAGGCATCAATTCTCTTTCTATCATCCCTAGTCACTCTCCACCTTTCTGATGCATAGCAAGTAATTGGCCTAGATAAAGTGCATGTTAGTCTTTAGACTGACATTGTGGCTCTTCAGTACTTTCGAGAGGTCTCAGACAGCTGACTTTCCCAACACAATCTGTCTCTTAATTTCCTTGCTGCTGGTACCAGGAGTGTTGATTGTAGAACTAAGCAAACTAAAGCTGTTAAAAATCTCAATCTCTTTACCATCTATCATGATGCTGCCAACTGGCCCAGTGGTAAGCATCTTTGTTTTCTTGATGTTGAACTTCAATCCATGTTGAAGGCTACATGGATAGGAGGACTCAGCATTTTGAAAATGACAATCCTACCAAAAGCAATCTACATATTCAATGCAATCCCAATAAAGATACTAAATTAATTTTTCAAGGAGATTTAAAGGTAAATTGTCAAGTTCATCTGGAGAGGCAAGAGACCTCGAATAAGCAAAACACTTCTAAGAAACAAAACTGAAGTGGGAGGCATAGCATACCCTGACCTCAAAACCTACTCCACAGCGGTAGTAAACAAAACTGCATGATACTGGTATAATGACAGGCACATACGTCAGTGGAACAGAACTGCAAACCCAGAAAGGGACCCAGCTATCTATGATCAACTGATATTTTACAAGGAAATAAAAACCTCTTCAACAAATGGTGCTGGCAACACTGAACATAGGATCCACATCTGACACCATACACAAAAATCAACTCAAGGTGGATAAGAGACTTGGGTGTATAGCCCAAAACCATAAAATTAATAAAAGACAAAACAGGATCAAGCTTAGAAGGCCTAGTCTACAGTATATAAAGAGACTCCCAAAGATAGCCAGAAATACACAGTCTGAAGAGGATAAAATTGGTAAACGGGACTTTCTAAAGATTAAATCCCTGTGCACACCAAAAGCTTTTTCCAACAAAGTGAAAAGAAAACCTACCGACTGGAAACAAACATTTGGCAATACCATCTCAGAGAAGAATCTCATAACGAAAGTTTATAGAATACTCCTGGGCCTCCACAAGAAAAAGACTGATAACCCAACTACAGAATGGGCAAAAGACAAGGAAAGAATTTTCACTAAGGAAGATATTCAAATGGTCAACAGAGACATGAAGAAATGCTCCAAATTGCTGGCAATAAGAGAGACGAAAATCAAAATGGTCTCATACCAGTAGCAGTGGCAAAGCTTAACAGTACAGCAAATAATAAATGTTGGAGAGGAACTTTTATACATTGTTGGTGGGATTATAAAATGGTACAACCACTCTGGAAGGCAGTTTACTGCTTCCTCAAAAAGCTGAACATAAAAAAACCCAACCAAACAAAACAAAACAAAAACAAATGCAAAAACCTGAACCCAGAAATCCCATTATGATCCTGCTATTCCATTGCTTGGAATATACCCCAAGAAAATGAGAACTGAAGTGCAAACGAAGACTTGTACACTAAATGCTCGTAGCAGCATTATTCACCATCACGAGAACATGGAAACAACCCAGATGTCCAACCACATCTGAATGGATTGAGAAATTATGGTATGTTCATAAAATGGAATACAATGCAGCACACAGGAACAATGATTTTGTAAATTACTAACTTGGGAGGAACTGGACAGCATTATGCTGTGTGAACTAAATCAGTCCCACAAGGACAAATACTGTATAAAACCATTATTGTAGAACAAGGATGGTGGGGCAGGTGGAAGCAGAGAAGTGAGAATGGGCTGGGGTTGTGGGGTGTTACACACATGCCTCTGAAAACTCTAGGAACTTGGAGAAACGAAGATAGTTATAGAAAGACTTCAGGTCTTTTGTTCATAGGGTCGCTATAGTTGTGCTCGACTCAACAGCAATCAACAAAAACAACATCATAGAGGAAATTTAATATGACAATAAATTTCTAATAAAAAAACCAAAGGAATTCAAAAGGACACTGCACAGTACTTAAGAAAAAGACTGTCAATTAATTCTATGTTTGGCAAAAACATCCTTCAGGAATAAAGAGAAAAATCAAGATATTCTCAGAAAAAGGAAAATGAACAGTATATTTCTAGTACACGCACTCTAGCCCCAAAAGAACAGCTAATGAATGGTCCTCACACATAAAGAAAATTATTTAAACAAACAACCAAACAACAACAAAACCAATATATAAAGACTCTTGGAGCACTGAGAAGACACAAAGCATCAGAGAAAGTAAAAAAGAAGTAACACAGAAGGACTAAGTCTGAAGGAAGTGGTGTCATACTACACACACATGAGCAAGTCATGGATGGATTATACCTCTGGAGAAAAGGACATATTTTTTCCTTGTGATTTTAGTGAATGTTTATAGAGAAAATTGGTTTTCCACTAAGCATTTCATTCATATTTTGTTTTGTGGCACTGATCACCCTCCCCACCTTACAATAGCACTCTTCTCATTTTTTCTTGTGTCTATCATTTGCATTTGCCCTTCTTTATTACCTCTTCCTATCTTCTGAGCTCCATCCTCTGGCAAGTGTTGCCTTTTGGTTTCAAATGGTTGATTGTTCTCAAGAATATGTATTTCTCTGGTGTTACTCTTTGTCTTATAGGCCTTTTACTATTAGGTTAAAAGTTGAGTCACAGAGGTAAGTTCAGTTCTACATCTGAAGGATGACTATGAGTGACAGTTTCAGGAGCTCTACTAGTGTCTATCAGACAAATAGGCTGTGCTTTTGATGATTTTGAGCTTTGTACCACATTTTTTCTCAACTCCATCTACAGCTTCCCATTGTGATCCCTTACAGCGTGGGCAGCACCATCCAGTTCTGGTCTCCGGGTTGTGAAGGCTGGGGCTCACATGGGTCCTTAGTCCTTTACACTAACTCTGTACAAGTGCCTATGATTTCCTTCATTTCTCTTTGCTTTGGATGAAAATAGATCAATAGTTGTATCTTTGGAGTCACAGGCTTTTAAAACACAAAACATTCATCAACAAAGTATGCTGTATAACACTGTCCCTATATTCTATGTTATGGCCAGAGACCTTTATAACTCCAGTACTATAGTCCTGAGTTCCCAGACCCTGTGACTTACTCTTTTTAAGTAGACCCTGTGACTTACTCTTTTTAAGTATTCGGTTATGGCTAAGAAGTCTTCATAACTTTGTCCCCATATGCAATACTGACATATATTCATGGCTATATTTTTAGCACATATAAGTAAATATAGACAAATATCTTTTGTCAAACCTGCATATATTCACAGATGTACTTAATTAAAATTTTTGTTTGTATTTAATTTAAATGTCTAATAATCACTGTTGGGCATTCATCACTTTTAAAAAAAAATTAGAGTTGAATATAACTTGAAGACATTTAAAAATACTACACTCATTAATTTGTATAAACAATGAGAAAACTTATGTTTCATTAAAATGGTCTTAAAATACACTGCAAAAATAAATCAATATGAGACAACTACGATGTTAATAAAATATTCAATATGAAACCCTTAAAAAAATCAACATGAAATGTGTACTTACAAATCAAACACCAAGTAATGGAAGCCCTCTTCTGATATACTGTCATGAAGCCGCACTAAAGAAAGAATAAAGAGAGAGAGAAGGTTTTTGTTATTGTGTATTTCAAGGATCAACCATAAACCAGGTTTCTAATAATGTCAACAGGCACTGGGACTCCAACTAGAAATATTAGCTTCACTCTCCTTTAGCCTTTGATTTACAAGACTTGAGAATTGCTTCTAATAACTTATTAACTTTCTTTTCTTAATGATGATGGTACTTACACTTTATAGGATGATTGCGATGATTAAATGAGACAATAAAAATCATGTCTATTTTGCTAGGCAGTTGCTGTAAGGGGTTCATGAGTCAATTTCAACACTTAGTGACGACATCTGACAGAGCAGACCTTCCTATAGGCTTTCTTTGAGCTAATGTTTATGAAAGCAGATTGCCAGGTTTCTCCCACAGAGCAGCAAGATGGGTTTGATTTTTCCATTAGCAGCTAAGTACATAAGCAAGGGTCATGGAAAAAAGAAAAACAAACCCATTTATAGTCAATGTTACGAAGTTTGAGTAATTCCCCCAATATGGATCTCTTCCTTTCCACTGAAATTGCTATCACCGTAGTCTAAGTCCTCCTTCACTGTTGTCTTGACCACTCTACAGAGAGCAAAGGGATCATTTTAAGAGATTAGAAATGATCTTCTTGACTCTGCCCTTCCTTTTGTATAGGTATTCCTCTATATATCACTCTCCAATCATTAAGCTGTGCTACTCCCAAAGGCATTCAGTTTGAATCCACCTACTGTTCCCCAGGAGAAAGACTGACACTCTCCTCCCATACTATTTACTGCCACAGAAAACCTGCTGGAGGGTCAGCTGTGAGTCGGTTCTGACTTGATGGTACATAACACCAACGGCATTTCATTATTTAAGATAGCAAAATCCACTTACCAATTTACTAACCAAACTCTACAGCTGGAACTTCTAATGAAACAATCCACAAGTTCTTTAAATGAACTTGAAATTTTCCAAGAAGCTAGAACTTCATTCAGTCAAAAACAATATTCCCTTTTCTGAATTAAAAAATAAAAAAACAAAAAACAAACCCAACCAACATTCATTGTCTACTCTAAACGAAATAATGCTATAAAACTTTGATAATACTTTATTTTGAATTTATTTTTTTACATTAGCATTCCCTAGCCCACATCTTGTGGCCACAGATGGCAAATTCTTTTAGAACAGAAATTGATATTTTGGTTCTCTAATTATCCAAATCAATTGGGGTAACTTGACCTTCACTGAGAACAGCAGAGAACAAAGAAAGCAACAAAGTCACCAGGAACAATGACTTTCATCAAAGTTAGTCAAAGGGTGTTGTTTCTGTTGTTCTGTGCCCTTGGGTCAGAAAAGATTCAGAGATGACCCCTCCAGCAGATTTTCAGATGCTGTAAATCCCTTGGGAGGAAATGGTCCATCTTTCTCCCAAGGAGCAGCTGACAAATTTGAACTACTTGCCTTTGGATTGGCAGCACCACCTCTTCCCATTGCGCCACCAGTGCTTCCAATAAAAGGGTAATGATTTCTACTGCAAAGTGTCTTGCAATGTTTCTCATGCAGCAATGACCACCAAGTAGAAAATGTGGATGATTCATGAGTAGCTACAAACCACAATCATCTCCAGAGGGAGTTCGTGATACTCATAAAATTCCCAACCTTATAAACTTAATATACTCTCTCTTCCTTTCCATCCAATTCACGTCAGACTCCAGGCCTGGTGACTGTAAAAAGCCTTTCCAAGCTGCCTTCACTTGTATCAAAAGTGGAGAATTTTGCTTCACTTGTAATTATAAATTGGTGTTAAGAGCCTTTGAGTTGAGTATGACTCATAGTAACCTGAAGAACAAGAGATCTGAACTCTGTCCTATCCTGCACTATCTTTACCATCCTTGACACATGTGAGTCCATGGTCACAGACACTTTCAATCTATCTCATTGAGGGTGTTCCTCTCTTTCACTGACCCTCCACTTTTCCAAGCATGATGCCCCTTTCCAAGGAATAATTACCATTAGTAAAATGTAGATTCTTATTCTCATTACATGAGGAAAAGATCTCATAATGTAGGTAGTGAGTGAAGCCAATGCAGTTCAGTCTTAAGAGTCTCCACTCTGTTTGGTTTTTAAGTGCATGAAATATACACACACTACAGTCCCTTTCTCCTGTCTTATCTGCTCCCCACCCCATGTTGTCCTTAAATTCATTGACTTAACATATTTTCATAGAAGCTGTGCTGCCAGCCCAAAGGCTGCATAGTTCTGGTGGGTTGAATGCACAGGAAGCTCTGAGGGAGGAAAATGGGCAGTCTCTTTCCGTTACAATGTACATCCTTGGAAACCCAAGGGAGAGCCTCTATGAGTTGGAACCAACTCACTAGCAGTGACTTTGAGTTTTTTATTTAATAATACTATTCTTTTCTTCAGCATATGGAATTTTCATCTCATCAGTATTATCAAAGAGGAATCGTATCTTATAATTACTTCCTCAAAGAGATGTGACATACTATGTTTGTAAAATAGTGTTTGATCACTGATTATATCAAGTGATCGGCACTCTTTCAAGGTAGGCTGAAATTTTCAACAAAGTCAATTACACTAATATGTGTCTAAAATAAAATGGAAAATTCAAAAGCAAGTGTCCTGTAATATTAACTGTATGAATGGTCACCTTCAATTTGCCCGTGTAAGAGATGACTGTTACTTTGTTTAAGCTAATGCTGTCAAAGAAGATTAAAAGTTTGCTTTAATGAGGTATTTTCTACTTATGGTCATTCAGAATACTAAAGAAAGCCAGGTCATAGCTGATAACTCACAGCTCAGATGCATTCTTGAAATTCAGAGTCTCATAGATAATACAAACAGTGTTTAAGGAAGTTCAAATAATGATATCATTACTAAAATAACTCCACTTCATAGTGTGTGCCAAATATATTAAACAATACAAAACCCATCACTCTGACAGTTATTGTATGAAAATTAGATGGTTGTTTCAGCTATCAAAATTATAATAAAAAGTAAAAATCACAATGTAAAGTGAAAGAAAAATCATCAGCTCTTCTTCCCTATGTCAAGAAGAGTGCTTTCATGGGAGGTGGTGTCTCAGGGATTCAGTTGGAAGGTGGAAAAGCTAAGTAGAAGAGGGCAGAGAAAAAGCGCTCAGATAAAGCTGGAGGAAAAAATACAAAGTCCAGGTTATATTTGGAAAAAAAATCTTCTGGGAAATTTCCATTACCTTATTGTTGTTGTTGTTATATGTTATTGAGTCACTGCGACTCATAATGATTCTACATACAAACAAGACCTCTAAACTGTGCTCTATTCTGTTCCAATCTTATTGTCTTTGAATACAAACAAGAGCCCTAAACTGTGCTCTATTCTGTTCCAGTCTTATTGTCTTTGACATACCTACTCCCATTATCCCAATCGCTGAATTGATCCATCTCATCAAGAGTCTTCCTCTCTTGCACTGTCCCTCTACTCTCCCATATATGATGTCCCTCTCCAAGGACTGGTCCCTCCTTGCAACATGCCCACAGTATGTCAGATTGAGCTTTGTAATCCTTGCCTCCAAGGAGCAGCCTGTTTTCATCCTCTCTAGGATGAACCTGTTTGTTCTCCTAGTAGCCCATGGTATATTCAACACTCTTCTCCAGCACCAGGCTCAAAGGCATCAATTTTCTTTCTATCATCCCTAGTCACTGTTTGGCTCTCTGACACATAGCACAAAATTGCAAAGACTATAGCCTGGATCAGGTGTACCTTAAACTCCAGCCTGACATCATCGTTCTTCTGTAATCTGGAAAGGTCCCTGACAGCTGACTTTCACAATGCAATTCATCTCTTGATTTCCTGGCTGCTGGTACCAAGAGTGTTGATTGTGGAGCCAAGCAAACTAAAACTGTTAACAATCTCGATCTCTTCACCATCCATAATAATGCTGCCAATTGGCCCAGTGGTGAGAATCTTTGTGTTCTTGAAGTTGAGCTTCAATTCATACTGAAGGCTGCAGTCCTTAACCTTCTGTAACAAGCACTTCACGTCCTCTTCAGTTTCAGCAAGCATGGTTGTGTCATCTGCATAATGTAGGTTGTTAATGAATCTTCTTTCAATCCTGATGCCACATTCCTCCTCATACAGCCAAGTGTCCCAGATGATCTGTTCTGTTCCAGATGATCTGTTCTTATTTGCTACTTGTAAATACCCATCATTTGCAAATTAATTATTTTTTAAAGCGTTACTCGACATCTGTTGATCAAGTATTTGGGTCAAAATAGCTCTGGGTCAAAATCAATGTTACAAAAGCTTTTAGCACATGATAATGATTAAAGTCAAACCATTTGGCCATATTTCTTTTGCAACACACAAGTGAAAAATAATCTCACACAGTATTTCCAACTGTTCGGTCTTATCAGTTAATTCTGAGTGAACGATGTTATTGATAGCTGAAATAAGTTTGCATCATCCTCACTTGGGATAAATATACACACTTTACCCACTATATCTTTCTCTACTTTCATTGCACACTTTTCTTTACTTCTATGTTTCTTAAAATCAGTCAAGCAAGCAAACAAACAAAAAAACCCAAACAAAAATATCCCAGTCCTACATGAAATCATATCAGTTCCAATTTGTTAACAAAATTATGTTATACAGTATTTACAGAGACTCTCTACATGTTTACAATCACATTAAAATAGACTTTTTCCCTTTTAAAAGTTTCAACTGTTGTTATACTCGATACGCCTATGCATTCTAAAAAACAGACTGTTACAGAGTCACATAGATCAGTTTTTCCTCTTCAAAATGTCTACTGTCAATCAACAATACCATTAATATTCATGGTTACATTTCTTTTTAATAGGTGTTAAGGGTGGAAAATGGCATTTATTTTTATACAAAAAGTTGAATTCATTATTTCCTATAAATCTTTGTCAATTTCTCTGCACCAAAGGCATGACACTAAGTTCTGTTCCTCACAGCTGTTAGCACATGACTGACTGTACAGCCAGATTT